GTGTTTTAAACTTGTTGGTGGATTTGGATCATTTAAATACAGAAAAAAGGGTTTCAAAGATCACGTAGCATGGTGTCAACGATTACGGTGTCAACAAACAGTTTTTCTAAGTTTTTGTAGACTCCATGATCATCCAAAAATAAAAAAAATTCTGACTCTTATGAAAGATGATTACGCGGTGTCAACGATCACGACGTCAACAAAACTTAAAACTTCCCCTTATAACATCTTTCAACTTTCAAGTCTTGTTTTTCCTGTGTTCGAATCTAATCTAACCAACCATAAGTGACTCAGACCTCTCCTGTGCACTCAACTTTTTAATTTTACTTATAAGGAAGATATTTTTTTGTTTGTTGACACTGTGATCGTTGACACCATGATCAGGGCCCATTTTTGCGTTTTACTGCCTGAGCACGACGTCAACGATTGTTGACTCCACGATCAGATTTTAGGTTTGATGACACCATGATCGTTGACACCATGCAACGTTACCGTTTCAAACTTGAAATTCCTTATCAGATAAGATTTAGTTCGTCATCGATGCTCCATCCATCCATGCTTTCCGCTTTCCAAATGGACCAGTGGGCAAAGTACATTTTCTTCAATTTTGATTATTCACATTTGCATTGCATTATGCTACGACATAGTCATCTTTTCTCTGCTCATCCCGCGAGACACATTTTTTTCCCGCGACGGGCGTATGAAAATGCATTCTTTTCTGAAATATTTAAAGATACCTCTTTACACGTCCTAGGAAAATCGCACTGGAATAAACCCCCACAAAAAACCCGATAATGATTCAGTAAAAAACTGATCGTTCTTCGTATGGTAATTAAGCCATGCTTGCGAACATCAGTATATCCACATCATAAAGACCGTCTCCGCAATCTATCTACTGACCGTGCTTTTTAAAACTTAAAAATACAGCGTCCCAAAATAGTTGCACATCAGTGAGTCTACGTGTTTTCAATGATAGAAATGGGTATGGCATAATGCTGCGATAACGTCTGATTTGGACCTCTCAAGCATGTGAGCGACTCTTCACCGTTCAGGCGCTGTTGCTGCAATTATTCGCGCTCCCGTGTATTCCTCAGTTGCATACTTTTGGTATTGAAGGTTTTTTGAGATCGTAATCAAACTGGATAATTACTCGGCACCGATGATGGGTAAAAATTTCTAGTCTCAATTTGAAATACGCCCACGTTATTCTAGATGTTATTCATTCAGTCATGGGACGTCATTGAGGAATTCATTCAACAAAGTAATTATTCGTGAGAAGACATTAATTAATACTATGAATGATATCAAAAGTCATCGCACAGATTGAATCCAAAATCCTTGATATCTGTGAAGAATTATTCACTTCAAGATATGGACAGGCAGACAGGCATAATCTTAACATGTTAACTGATTATTAAAATGTTTGAGTGTTTGTGCTGTTTCAGCTTACCAAGGAAACGTCCTCAGATCAAGTTTTCATTGAGGGGTCATCTAGCGTTGCCATAGCATGGGGATTTCATTATTACTTAAAACATTTTTGCGACAACCATATATCTTGGGATTATGATTAAATCAATCTTCCTCAACCTTTACCTGAGGTCAACATCACCGTGAAAGCCAATGACATGTACATAAACTTTTACAATTTCTAAATTTTTTAGAGTTTTTTCAAAAGGCAGTAACTCGGAACAAGTCTCAAGGAATCCTAAACATCTGAATTTTTGAGGAGAAATACTTGAAGAAAAAGATTCTTTGAGACCATAAAGCTGATCGAGATGATTTTAATTATTATTTTTTTTTTACTTGTCTGTAAAATTCTTTAAGTGAGCAAGCAATAATGCCACATTGAAATACGTTTTATTTTAACACACATCGGTGGAAAATGAGAGAAGATTGCGATTTGACTACCGCAGTTCATCACCACCGTTAGTTTACCTCCATTCGGGTGCGTTTGAAATTTCATGCAGTTTTCGGATTTTTTAAAAGCGGGATTTCGGCTCCATAAAAATGCGGAAAAATCACCACATTATCTACTCACCTTGTACTTTCAAAATGTCAAATAAAATAAACAAGGGTTAGGGACCCATTGTTGTGGGTACATTCGCACTGCAAATTTTGAAAAATTCCGATTGTTTATCATGAGAAGAAACAGAAATTGAATATTTTAAGGGAGCTTTCAATTATACAGTGCCCTTTTTTTATTCAGATGGCGATATTACCAAAACGTCTGCACCTGTAGTTACAGTTATGTTTGGTGGGACTGGGGCCGGTGGGAGAGAGAGATCGACTGGATGGCGCTGAACGGAATCAACATGGCATTGGCATTTAATGGTCAAGAAGCAGTGTGGAACAGAGTCTACAAGAAATTCAATATGAAAGAAGCGGATATAGATAAACATTTCACTGGTCCTGCATTTTTGGCTTGGTACTTTTTTCATTCGTGTTATTTAAAATAATTTTGTTAAGCTGCTTTTTTCTTAGTACTTGGCACTTTCTATAGGTTTGTAGTGAACGCGCACTCTTGGTGAAAATTTAAAAAAGTTTGAATACTCAGAAAGATGATACTTCTAGAGGGGATTGGATTGGTTCAGGAATGATCGAGTACTTCATCGAAGTTGAAAATGATGGTCTATTTGACATCAATTTTTCTTTTCGTGGCCGTTTTGGAGAGAAACCTCGTATTCGATGCAGCTATCGATTTCTGTGTCGAATGCAAGTTTCTTTCCAAAACAGATCGTGCTATAAATTCTCTGAATTTTGCCACAATCTTGGTTTCGAATGACTCTTTAGGCTCATACGCAGGGGCTGCCAACCCTTTTTAGGGCTAAAAATTCAAAATCTGCCGAAATTTTTTACTTAATCGATGCGATATATCGTACGCCGGTTCGACCACTCCAGAAACCGCGACGAATCACCTAAACAGGATGGCGGGAAAAGCATGCCAAAGAAGACGCATGACAGTGGTGAGGCGTAAAAGATCGATTATTGATATTTCCCCATTTGAAGATCTATGGTGAAGAATTGATTATTAAGGTGTTCGCTGCGAACACCCTATTTATCGATACTTTTCCATAGGTTCAAATGGTAGATTAATCGATACATCGCAAAATACGCCACGCCATTGATTCGTGACTGGGTTCCTCCTGAGGGGCCACTGGGGACACGTACGGGAAAAGAGTGGCAAAAGGGGTTTTAAATGAAATCTTTCAAATTTTTTTTATCAATCTTGGGATTTTTCTTCTTTTCTTTTCATGTTTCTTACAATCCAAACTTAATATTTGTCAGGGGTCGCATGGGAAACATGCGAGGCTTTGGTGGACCCTTGAATGATAATTGGCATGAGAAAAGCCTCGTCCTGCAGCACAAAATCTTGGCCCGAATGCGGTTATTAGGAATCAATCCGGTTTTGCCCGCATTTTCTGGACAAGTCCCTCGAAGTTTTAAAGAGTAAGTAGGTTTTGCTGTTTTTCTTGGAAGTAAAATATAATCTTTATTATTTTCTCCCCTTCAGTAGATGGTTAATTTTTCCTCTAACTTTCACAGCATTTGAACATTCTGGAAAATTTCTGAAGCTGTAGGCAGAATTCACCATGATCCAGGATGGATTTAAAACATAAAAGAAAAATTTATGTACAGATATTGAGGGATTTGGAGGACAAGGCGCATAAGTGCAGTTTTTGCTATTTCGAGAATTACGTGTATGAAGTTTCGGAATTACATCGATTCTTATGTCGGAGAGAAAGTTCCAGCTGACTATTTGAGACTTAAAAACTGGAATTTGGAGGCGAATTTTTCGCAAAATATGCATTAAGACTAGCTTTGCTTGGAATCAATAATATCTCAATTTTTTCAAAGCCTGCACTCGTGCACCTTGTCCTCCAAGCCCCTCAATTGAGCTTCTTTTCAACCTACGTATGTTTTGACAGAATGAAAGTGTTTTCACTACGCACTTGAGGGGGGTTCAAAGGTTACGTGATGCATTTCGGCTGACTTTTTGAGCCCTCCTCTTGAAAGGTTTAGATTCATTACAAAACCTTTCACACCTAAGTTTTTTCAAGAAATAACGGAAAAACCCGAAAGCCGACTTTTTTCTTTTGGTGGCAAATGTTATCTTTTTCATGGAAGGAGGCTTCTATCATTTATTTTGGAACCTAGCTGTGAAGCCCACCGCCGCACTGTGGATGGAGTCAGTCAGAGAGGTCGGGCATGAAATTTAAACAAAAACTGAGAATTTTGATGTCTAATTCATCACATTTTAATAAAGGGATGTTTTCTGGAAAATAATTTCATGAGAAAACCAATGGAATCACTTTTATAGCCTCAAAGTTTTGCGGAGTTGTAAGCGTTTAAAGGTCCCAAATCTTGTCCGACCTCTCCCATTGACTGGATCCACTGTGCGCCATGAGTGAAGCCTTGGAAAGTTAAAACGCCTTCATTTCCGTGCGTATGCAACACGGACATCCATCGAGTTCGAATAGTTGCATCCAGGCGCTATTGTGAAATTCGTTCAGCGTTCTTCGAACTATGGGCACTGGGCTTGTCTCTCTTTCACAGTAACTTGATTCTGGCGTTGCTCATCGTGCCGATTAAGTGAACTATTACTGATTTTTACCGCAAAATTGTCAATTTTCCCTAAAATGCATTGATTTTTTAAACGTATTACAATGTTGCCCTCCTAAAATGTTGGCTACGACCTACACTCACTGACCTAAGAACGGCAAAGTCGTTTCAGGGACACTTCAGGAAATTTTTCTCGAGCCGAAGCATTTTAAAAAAACTTTTAAAAAAATCAAGTTGTAAAAGGACAGAACAGTCAGAAAGTCAGAACAGAACCTGAGGAAGCAGGACTTTATGTTCGTAGAAAATCTATTTTACGTCTTATGTAGTTCATTGCTTCGAAGTATAATCAAATTGGAGCACTAGACCGGGTTCATAAGAAAACGAATCAATGACGAGGCACTTAAGGAAGCCGGCCTAAAACACCCCTCGCATAAAATCTCCAGAGATCTTTTAATTTAAGTTTAAGCAACTAAGACTTGAAATATTGAGCATTTTTTTTA